GACTGACTGGGATGGATTATTTCCTTCAAAACTCTTCCTAGCCTAATAGCTAAAACTTTGGATAATAATTTATGATCAGAACACAACAAGGATACAGGTCGCCAGTTTTTTTATATTTTCGCATTGCCTTTTTTGACAGAAGGGTAAGGATCGCTCTTCTACAAAGTCTTTCGACTAAATTGTCACTGAGAACTTCCAGCAAGTCCTTTCCTATAACTGGCCAAAAAGATTTGTAGAACTCCTCTGGTATTCCATTTATCCCAGGAGATTTGCCAATCTCCATACTTTGGAGAGCTTCATGCATTTATAGCTCTCTTGAGCACTGCATTTGAATCTTCAGAGACTTTTGGCAGTCCCTCATAAAACATTTCTCTATAACCTGATCGCCCTTGTGTTCACAACTATGAAGTTTTTCAATAAAAAACACTGACTCGTTTTTGAACTTCACCAGGATCTGATAAAAGAGAACCAGTCTCAGAAAACAAAGATTGTATAACATGTTTCTGACCATTCTTTTTCTCTAGACTATAGAAGAATTTTGATGGCACATCCATCTGATCTTTACCTTTAAACCGTAATCGGATCAGTGCCTCTTGCGCCTCTTTACTCTTTGTATGTCTGATAAAAGACATTTCTTTAAAAAAAGTCTTCGATGTGTGATTGATTTCTACCTGATGAAATTTTAAAATTCGATCTCTAAAACTTTTATTGCTTTTATTATCTCTTTGTTACATTGAAAGTGTATTGTTGACATAACTGCTTGATTTGGGCTTTGCCAAATTCCCACCATGTATGTACTAACTGAAAACTTTCTTTTTCAATTAAAAGATTTCCCCAAAATAAGTTAAAGTCTTTAAACTGTGCATCACTTAATAAATTTATATTAAAATGCCAGTATGAACTTTCAGTTTAAAAGTATTTAAAACTGCTACACATGTGACCAAAATATGATCAGAATTTTTTTTTTTTATAAATAAACGGAGTTATAAAGCAGTTTTTAAAAATGCTAAAATGGTGCTTAAAAACAATAAAATCTGTCTAATCTTGCTAGTGACAACATGTTATCATGGAAATGTACCTTTGTATATTGTTTTACATTTTCATTTAAGTTTCTTTAAATGTCACATAAATTATTTAATTTAGTTATCTGAATTAATCTATTACATGAAAGCATGTGCGGTTCTATATGATTTCTGTCAATATGGTTTTCTGTACAGTTGAAATCCCCTCCTAGAAACAAGTTTTCCTTACTAATACATTTATCTAAAATGTTAGAGTTTCTAAAAAATCCAATCTTTTAACTGGAAGAGTTGGAGCATATATACAAATAAAGACAAAACTTTCTGCACACAATCTTTCAACACTTCAAATAAATGAGTTCAAATAAATATGTGTCCTAAAATGTTTATAAAATTTATTTGGACGTCTATCTATCCCTGGAGTGCGTCCTGTAGAAAGTCCTGTATTCGGTAAACGTCAGTTCAAAGTCTAAAATTTTTATTTCTTCTTTGTTTAAAACCGGAAAATCTTTTAAAAACTAATTTTTAGTATTCAAGTTTATTTCCTCCGCAGTGTAACAAAGAGGCTGGCATGGAGGGATCCATTTGCTGTATGTTTATTGAATTCAGGGTCAGAAACACAAGCCAAAGAGTTTTGTAAACACTCACATAAAAATCCAGTATATATAGTCGAAAGGCAGGCGGCATAAACTCATAGATCGTAGAGACAGGCATAGGTCAGGGCTGGCAGATAAATATGTCGCCTGTAAATATGAATATATAGCGCCTAGAGCTCAATATGTCGTGAACCTGATACGCCTCCTCGCTGTCAATGATGATGGGTGCCTGGGCATGTTCACCAACTGCCAACTCCTTCTCCACCTCCGCTGGTCCAGCAGCCAGTTTTAACAGAGAGACTTGGAAAGTGGGACAGTGGCTGCTTTTCTTAAAGAATTTTGAGCGTATTCTGCCCACATAATAAATCTGCTCCAATCCTCCTGATTCTGATGACAGTATGTGCGCAGAAAGCAGGTTATTTCCTGATTCATACGTTCTGTTTGGCCATTGGACTGTGGGTGATAACCGGAGGTTAGACTGACATTAATATTCAGACTCTTGAAAAATGCTGCCCATACCCTGGACGTGAACTGGGGTCCCCGATCTGAAACAATATCTTCTGGCATTCCGTAGAAACGAAAAACGTAGTTGCATAGTAACTCCGCTGTCTCCAGTGCTGTGGGTAGTTTGGCGATGGGTATGAGTTTGCAAGACTTTGAAAATCAGTCGATTACAGTCAGAATGGTGGTTTTACCTTGAGAGGGAGGGAAATCTGTGATGAAGTCAATAGCGATGTGCGACCAAGGACGATGTGGAATGGGTAGCGGTTTTAATAATCCTGCTGGCTGTTACAGAGAGTGCAATTATTATTGAATTTTGAGGTATCAGTTTGCATTGTGGACCACCAATAGCGATTCTTGATGAGATCAAGGGTGCCCATTATGCCTAGATGACCGTAACTAGAGTTAGAATGTATCTGTTAAATTAACTTTTCTCTCATGGTGGAAGGAACAAAAGTTATCCCTACAGGGCAATCAAAAGGAATTTGTTGATTTCTCAGTGCCTGCGCGATTTCAGTTTCTACATCCCATGTTATGGGAGCTAGGATGAGTGATTCTTTAAGAGTGGGTTGATCCATTTCCTCTATCTGACTGTCCTCACATAAACGTGATAATGCATCTGCTTTAATGTTTCGGGAACCTGGGATGTATGAAACGGAAAAGTCAAAGCGTGTAAAAAATAATGCCCATCTAGCTTGTCAGGGATTGAGTCTTATAGCTGAACGGATGTATTCGAGATTTTTATGGTCTGTGATGACGGTGAATTTGTGTTTGGCTCCCTCCAGCCAGTGTGTCCACTCCTCCATCGCAGCTTTCATTGCCAGTAAGTCTCGATTCCCCACATCGTAATTGCGTTCAACCGAATTAAGTTTGCAAAAAAAAAAAACGCAAATGGGTGAAGTTTGGGTGGATTTCCTTGTCTTTGAGAAAGTATTGCCCCAATGCCTGTGTTGGATGCGTCGATTTCTACAATGAAGGATGAGTCAGGATTTGGATGACAGAGAATGGGTGCTGTGGAAAAGCGTAACTTGAGTCTGGCGAACACGCAGGCCCGTGCAGAAACCGTCCAAAGGGCATGTGCAGGATAAATGTTTTAAAGAGGGGGGGGGGGGGGGGGGTGTTGTCGCGCGCGTACTAAACAGCGGTGTTGTCGGGCACATACTAAAAAGCGGTGTTGTTACGCGCGTTCTGATCAGCTGTGTTAATGCGCGCCTACTGAAGGGCGGGACCGAGGGTGTGTTGCGTCGTGAGGGCACTTTTGATCATTTTGGAAGGGCACTTTCTATCCAAGACTAAAAAGGGCATGTGCACTGTACAGGTTGAGCCCTATGTGTGCATGTGCCTGCGAACGCGTGATCTGCTGCATCATTCCACTGAAGTTTTACGTGGCCTCGTTTGACGAGGGTGGTAAGAGGTGCCGCTACAGTACTGAAGTTTCTAATGAAGCGCCAACAGAAATTAGCAAATCCCAGGAATCTCTGTAACTCTTTCACAGTCTTAGGTTTCGGCCAATGGAGTACTGCATTCACCTTGTTTCATCCATAGCCACGCCCTCTCTTCCAACCACATATCCAAGGAATGAAATAGATGTTTTGTGAAACTCACATTTCTCTAATTTGGCATAGAGTTTGTTTCTAATTAGTCTTTCCAGGACAGCTCTGACATGTTTGATGTGTTCCTCCAGCGAATTTGAATAGATTAGAATATCATCAATGTAAATGATCACCCAACGGTTTAACATATCTGAATATCTCATTGACAAAGGCTTGAAACACGGAAAGACTGTTTGCTAGTCCGAAGGACATGACGAGATATTCATGGTGCCCATTGGCTCTAGAGAACACCGTTTTCCACTCATCCCCGCCCCTTTTTCTAATGAGGTTCTAAGCATTGCGTAGATCTAGTTTGGTGAAATATTGTGCTGACCGTAACTGTTCTAAACCTGCTGGAACTAAAGGTAGTGGATAACGGTACTTCACAGTGATCTCATTCAGACCTCTATAGTCTGAATGATTTAATTAATGATTTAATTTTTTCTGGCTCAGATGTATATTCTCCATTATTGTTTCTCAAACCTAGCATTTGATTATTCTTTGTTTTCTTATTATCCAGGTTGGAAAAAAAGGAAGTAGGTCCATCCATATCTCTCAATGAGACAAATATTCTTCTCACAAGAGCCCCTTTTACCTTTTTATTCAAAGTTGAGCTTAGATCTAACTTTCTTTCTGTCTAGTCTTGTAAATTGGCAGGCCCATCATATTCTTTTCAACAACAAGGATTTATTTTTTCAGCTCCTCGAAAGTCTATGTCTATTTCCAATTGGATGTTTTCATAGAAGAAACTGAGTACAGAATTATTTTATGTGGATCAATAGCTGTGTTTAAAACTTTAAAACTCTCTCTCTCTCTCTCTCTCTCTCTCTCTCTCTATATATATATATATATATATATATATATATATATATATATATATATATATATATATATAGTTACACACAAACATATATATATATATATATATCATTCACCTTTACCCAAGTATACTGTTTCATTGAAGAATTATTTTTCCTCCATATTTCTTTATATTTATGAGTTTTAATGTTATTATTTTGACACTTTAGATCAGGGGTGCTTAATCCTGTTCCTGGAGATCTACCTTCCTGTACAGTTTAGCTCCAACCCTGATCAAACCCACCTGAACCAATTAAATAGGACTTGAAATCCACTTGATAATTACATACAGGTGTGTTTGATAAGGGTTGCAACTGAAATCTGCAGGAAGGTAGATCTCCAGGAACAGAATTGGCCACCCCTGATTTAGGGCAACCAGAGCTGGAAACACTCCATTAAAGAGATTGTTGGGCTTTTTTTTTTTATTATTCCAGAGGTTTACATAATCCTGGACTAGGCCGTATCCTGAGCAGTTGCTGTGGTGGTCAAGGAGGAGTGGAGAGCATGAGACTGATCCATTGACAGACGAGTTCTCGCATTGATCTTGAAAGGACAGCCTATACACCAGCTGGTGACCTCTCCCAGATGCAGCTTCTCCACGAAGGATGTCCAGCCTCCGGCACCTAAACTGCAGCTCTGCACAAGACGTTTAACCATAGGACAAATGGTCATGCCCAGCTGAGCCTGGTTTCTCTCTAAGTTTTTTAATTCTTCATTTTCGCCAATTGGTAAAGTTTTTTTTTTTCCTCGCCGCTGTCGCCACTGGCTTGGACTGACATTTCAGTTTACTACAATCTTCTATGTGAAGCTGCTTTGACACAATCTACATTGTAATAGTGCTACAGAAATGAAGTTGAACCAAATTACCACCTGAGTTGCTTAAGCTGCTACAACCACCAGAGCTCTTATTGCTAGGGCTGCCACCACCACCACCAGTTCTGCCAGATTCTCCTTCACTCTCAGAGCTGCCAGAATCTCCTTCGCTCCTAGAGGGGCGCTCTGTCACAAGCACCAGCAATCCAGCAACTGCGGATCTCAAGACAACTACACACACTATCGAACCGTCATGCGCCTCGCATGTTCCAGATAACAATTAATTACATACACACAGCCAGAGGATTTGTCAAGGATTGATTACAGCACACACACATACGCATCAGTCTTCTTTACTGTTTTTGTGACATTATAATGCATTTCCTTTGCCTTGACTCGCTTTTGTTCTATTCATTATGTTGCATACTGTCTGTACAAACCATTTGCCTGTTATTTGACCATGAATCTAGATTACCTATATGTATCTGTTTGACCCTGTTGACCGTTGCCTGCCTGGCCATTCTCATAATAAACCTGCATTTGAATTCTCAACTTCATTGTCAGTGTCTTCACATGACAGTGTTCTGTGTACTGTGCTTTGAAAGTGTAAGGCTGTGAGCAAACACTGACCCATTAGCGGAGATACAGCAAAATAATATTAAGATTCCCATTCCTGTTCCTGTTTAAATAAATATTTATATATAATTTGTGGCACTCTCATTAATACAATTATTAAGATATATTAAAAATCTGTGACCATTCATTAAGAAAAAAGAAAAGAAAGGATCACTACTTCTATTTGATCCTTTTGATGAATTGCCTATATTGAAAATATACAAACAGTTTATCGATACCGCCTACCCCTACTGGGGTCCTACCTTCCCCAGAAATAGGTTACAAAAATGTTTGATTGCTTGGTGGTCCAACCAGTTATTAATTTTAGGGAGCAAACACTTTTTCACAGACTTTTTATTTTGTTTTCGCTTAGTAATAAAAACCTTTATTTAAAAAATGCTTGATTTGTTTACTTGTTAAGGTTTTTTTGTTAACAAAAATGCAAAAATTAAATAGTAAATATGACTTAAGAAGCAACGCATTTTATCTCGCACCACAGGGCATGTTAGTTTCCAGTAAGACATTTTTAAGTCTATAATCAGTTATACTGTTTTCATTCATTCATTCATTTTCTTGTCGGCTTAGTCCCTTTATTAATTCGGGGTCGCCACAGCGGAACTTATTCAGCAAGTTTTTTACGCAGCGGATGCCCTTCCAGCCACAACCCATCTCTGGGAAACACATTCACACACTCCTACACTACAGACAATTTAGCCTACCCAATTCACCTGTACCGCATGTCTTTGGACTGTGGGGGAAACCGGAGCACCTGGAGGAAACCCACGCAAAGGCAGGGAGAACATGCAAACTCTACACAGAAACGCCAACTGAGCCGTGGTTCGAACCAGCGACCTTCTTGCTGTGAGGCTGCGCCACTGCCTCGCCCTATACTGTTTTATTATTAATAAATGTATGTTATACTCACAGATAAGACCAGCTGTAGTCCCATGTCTTTGGTCTCCAGTCTTCTGGACCAAGCTGGACTGCCAGCTGGAAAGCTGTGGTGAACATCATATGTGCAACCATCCCAAAAAGACCTGGAGTGCAGAAGAATTACAGAGCGCTAATAATTATTCTGAGTATGAGTTTCAGTATAATGATTGAAAGTTTAAAAAAACAACTTGTATGTAGTATTATTACATTCTTGTACCGTTCATTATATTGCAATAACTGTCAAACTTACTAGAATATTACAATTGTAGAAAAATTAACTCAGTTCATGAATATTAATAATCAATAATAATGGGTTATTATTAATCATTAATATTCCGGCTTAACCTTCTGTCAATTTGGTTAAACAAATATGTAAATATATATGATTCCGCCTGCTCGACCGAGCGGACTATAAGATTATGAATATTAATTATCAACAATAATGAATTATTATTGATCATTAAAATTCTGAATAAATTAATTTTTATTATCATGAGTAATTATCATTATCATGATGCGCTATCCAAAAATGTCAGCAGAAACCCATCGTTACAAAACATGGGGGGGGTTTAAAAGTACATCAACATAATTCCCACATCCTTACATTATTGATGCTTTAAAAAAGCCTAAAGGTACAAGGCGGACAGGTTATATGATGGATTATACATGTAAGACAAGTCAGAGATGAAATGCAAAATTTACAAAAACAATATTTGTTTTTGGGCTGATCCAAGAATTCTGAGTTCCTTTTTAGTGTCGAGAGCCTGGTGTGTGTGTATGTGTGGGTGTGTGTGTGTGTGGAAGGAGGGAGACAGTAATGTCTTTGAAGTTCTAGTAACCCATCTCTGGCTTACCTCTACATAAGTGAGGTGTCACCAGAGACACAGACTTCGTGGCACCAGTATTCATAAACTCACGCAGAGGAGACTCAGACCCCTTTAAAAAATCAATACGTAATTTTTATCTACAGCCTGTACGCTACACAATAGGTTTAATAAATTGGCAAATACAGCAAAAGCTTACAGTTGTATTTGACAAATCTAAATTTTGACAGTTTTAGGGCATATTAGTTCATAGATAAGTTCAAAGGGTCATTTCAGCATAGGTTAGAGAAGTTGTCAGCTTTGTTTTTAGCTGTGTCAGCTTCAACGTTCAGATTTCAGTTTTATTTCACTTTGACTTACATTAAGAGTTAAAAGATTGCACAAACGCACATCACAATATACCATTACATGTGATCAAATAAGTGCATAGTTTGTATATTACAAACAGCCATAAACATTCTGAACATTATGATTTAAAGCAAAAATGAATGCAAATGTGATTGTATTTTTACTTTGCATCAAAACATGAACATGTTGTGTTATTAAACATGTTAATGCTTATTTTGCCCTGTTTACATAAGCTGTTTGATTAGTTCAAGCAAGGAATACATAATGACAGACAGTTTAATTATAAGACACAGAAATGCACACCCAAGGTGGTACAGTCCTTTTACCTTGGTTGTTTGTTACTTTCTGATTATTCAATTGACCATAGCAATTTTTTTTTCTGCTTAAACAGTTACCACACCCAAAGCCACTGTTTAAGTGTTGTATTTTAAGACATTTGTCAGAATTTTGTCCTAAAACTGCTCCAGTGTGTAGGACTAGTTTATTACACATTTCATCCAAAGTGATAAGGAACTGTAATGAGGTCAAGCCTGAAAATCTTTAACAGTGCGTTTTATAAAAAAATTCACATCTTAAAGAATATTCATTAGCCAATCAGAATCAACTATTTAATGGCTTTAAAGACTGGAAAGTGCCCTTCTGAATCAAATCAGCAGGATGCCTGACTTTAACTGCAGTTTGGAAGTATCACTTTAACTAATGAACATTTCATTTTTGCCCCCGTAATGGACTGGGGTATTAGACGCAAATAAGCAGTAAGGACTAGTGAGAGTGTTATGTAATATAATAAACGCACGCCAAATAGAAAGAAAAAAAACTTCTGCATTTCGTGATGTGTGTGTGTGTTTGTGTGTGTGTGCACACGGTCCATTACTGACAGCCACATGTGTGGATCTTGTCAGAAAAAATGGTGATAAATTCTACATGACAGTATAGTATGATTGCGGTGTTTACTTCAATAATGCCACTAATATATGCATAATCCATGTCTTAAATCCACTTCTTTTAGTTTAGTTATGAATTTAGTCAGATTAAGGTGATCAAAAAACAAATGAGCCATTTTAATCTAGATTAATCAAGATTAAAAAAAATAATATTATATGCTCAACTATATTATTTTCTTGTCGCTAAGTCGTTTTATTAATCAGGGGTTGCCACAGCAGAATGAACCGCCAACTTATCCAGCTAGTTTTTTTAAGCAGCAGATGCCCTTCCAGCTGCAACCCATCTCTGGGAAACATACACACACATTCACACACACACACACAATCATACACTACAGACAATTTAGCCTACCCAATTCACCTGGAAACACATGTCTTTGGACTGTGGAGGGAAACCGGAGCACCTGGAGGAGACCCACGCGAAGGCAGGGAGAACATGCAAACTCCACACAGAAACGGCAACTGAGCCGAGGTTCGAACCAGCGACCAATCAACCTTCTTGCTGTGAGACGACAGCACTACCTACTGCGCCACTGCCTCGCATATATATATATATATATATATATATATATATATATATATATATATATATATATATACACACACATATATATATATATATATATATATATATATATACAGGGCTGATAGTGGAAAAAAATTCCTGAGCCTGAACTTTTTTTCCTTGCCCCTGAGGTGAGTAGGGGTGGGGGTACTATGTATGCAACGCACTTTTAACACAAAACTTGTGGGCCCCTGGGCCCAAATATATTAACAGCCTATGTGTAACCCTGATCATCATTATTGTCATTATTGTCAAGTGGCTCTTTTTACACACATGCCAGTAATGTCAGTGACACATGCCAGTGTAAGTGATCTTGTGACATGTCCCAGTATGTGTCAGTATAAGCACGTTATAAGCACATTAATCTTATAAGTCTCTTTGCTTTATTATTTAAAAATCATTAGGCAAATGACACCTGTTATCTTACATGCATATATGTTATGAGTTTTCAACATGCATTTTATTATAACTTTTTAAAGGATATTATTTAAAATACCTTAAAATGAAAATAAGTTAAATAATAAAATAAATGACTGAATTAAAAACATAGAGAAGTCCATATTGTAGGGAACAAAGGAACTGCAATAATATACAGTACAACAGAAAAGTGTAACCCCTCCCATACATAAGCATGCCACAATAAATTTGACTGATATGTACTGTCAAATGACTATATTATGTACGGAAGTATGACTACGAATACATAAAATAAATGCGTTTAAATTAAAACATCGTGGAGTAGCTCAGCAAATAAACTAACTTGCGACGTGATAAATTAGGTTAAAAGTCGCGTTATGATTAAATATGGTTTTGCTCGTGTTAATTAATGTCATAAGCTTCGCCGGGTGTCGATGTCACTGCAGTGACATGCAGCGCGACACTCTGAGTGACACAGGTCACTACATATGCCACTAGTGAGTGACACATGACAGTGGAAAACCGGACGTGCCACCGGAAGTGTCACTACACTCAGTGGCATGTGCCAGTGTCATCTGTACGTCAGATCCACTCCATGTTAAAACTGCTACTGTGAATCCGCGTTCAAGCGCACACAATAAGCTAAAACTCGCCCCAAGCACTGGCAAAAACAAATAACAATGAATGTGTCGAGGAAAGAGTAAGGACATATCTTAATTATTTATAAATAAACTTATTCTGAGTCAGTGTCGCAAAGATCCTGACTGGCAATCTCCTCTTGGACTCGCCTTTAGAGAGAAATTCATCTTTACGGATTACATGAAGGAGTTTTTTTGTTTTCGATTTGTTTTATTTCGTTAAGTAATAATTTAAAGCTTTCTATAAATATATTTATTATGTCTGTGAGGCATATACATTTTGCTTCATTTTGTTAAGCGCTCCTGTTCAAAAACCAGACGACAGAAAGCGCATAATTTTGGTTTTCTTTATTTTATAAAAACGCTGTAACGTTTTTTGATGTATTACTCGTACTTTGTGAGCAAAAATGACGGATAACTTTAAATTGCTCCCACTGAAAAAATGCAAGTTATTGCTCTGGCGCCTCGATGTCCCGCAAGCTTTTTATAAGCAAACTATGCGCCTAATAGCACACATTCTTTAACGTTTAAGCTACCATTGTTTTATACTTGAACTGTTTTATATCTTTTATTTTAGGCAAGTCGTGATGATCTGAGAAGGCAAACTGATCAAACAGACAATGATGGTCTTCCGCTGGGCGCTGTTCGTTAAAAAAAAACCTTATTTTTAACGAATAAAAAATGCTCCAAACGTTTTTCTAAATAAGCTGAATAAAAAAACGAAACTAAATATAAACACTTTGCCATTAGGCTACATACAAAACTGAACTATTTCATAGCTGAAACACTAAGTTGTTTAAGGAGAAGGGGGAAATATATTTTTGTCCCGTCTATTGCTTCACCGTTATTTCGAGAATAAACCCAGCGTAAATATGCAGATGTCATTCCCAAAACATATCAGCGTATATGTGCCGAAAACGAAAGTTTCATACAAATTCTGAATGGATTATAGCCTGGAAAGTGCAAAGCATGCTCCTCTTATTATCACTAAAAAGCGTCACTAATCTTAGTTCATAGAGATCTCACAAAGACGCGTTATAATTTATAAAGCTCTCTAAATTACACAATCTTTTATTTAAATGGCTTCTACACTCAAAAGATGATTCACGAGCACACAAAATGGCACTTAACAAAAACCAATCCGGCGCTTTCAGCAGTGAGTGAATTCTGTGAATCTAGAGAAATGACAGATCAATATCCGTGAACCTGATTTTTTTTCCCCCGCAGCCACGGAAATCCGGCGTAGTGCTGGAACGCTATCACCCCTGTATATATATATATATATATATATATATATATATATATATATATATATATATATATATATATATATATATATATATACAGTAGGTGAGAGTTCAATGTGAT